CCTCAGCGCTGACCTTCCGACAGTGCGGCGCTCCCTCAGCGCTGACCCTCCCTCAGTACTAACTGTGTGATAACTTTCCTTTCCCACTCAGGAAAATTCCCCCGTGCCCCTGACTATACTACCTGAGACAATCCAGCTTGGTCCTCGGCCTACCTTCAGGTCTCTGTAAACGATGGAGTATTTGTGAATATGTTCCAATCCCAGAATGATCTCTGCGGTGTAAAACCGAGCTTCTGTTTCCAACAAATGATTGTCTTTGGTCAGAGTCTGCAGGTCACCACCTAATCTCAGAAAACATACTCACAGATAATTAAATCCCACACTCAGGCGCAGGTATATGTCCACAGACTGGTGTCACTCAGTCCCCTGTCTCTCTCTCTCTCCCCCAGGGAGATATCTGTACACTGGTGTCTCTCAGTCCCTCTCTCTCTCTCAGGGAGATATCTGTACACTGACTGGTGACTCTCAGTCCCCTCTTTCTCTCAGGGAGATATTTGTACACTGACTGGTGTCTCTCAGTTCCCCCCTCTCTCTCTCTCAGGGAGATATCTGTACACTGACTGGTGTCTCTCAGTCCCCCCTCTCTCTTTCTCAGGGAGATATCTGTACACTGGCTGTTGTCTCTCTGTCTGAACATTTCTTGTTTGTGTTGTTTGCAATACTGACCTTGAGCCTTTGACATTCTCAGTGTGAATGTGTCCTTTATCTTACCTGCAGTGTAGTCCAGGATGTAATAGAGCATGTCATTTGTTTGGAAAGTATATGTCATTTGTACAATGAATGGGCAGTCCTGCAACAAACAGAGGCAGAGAGAGTGAGAGAATGTGAGACAGTGACAGATATTAACATGGACAGGCCTGTGGAAACTGCTGTTGTGTACTGTCTAAGACTGCTGTGTTTGGCTGCTCAGTGGTTAGCACTGCTGCCTCACAGCGCCAGGGACCCAGGTTCAATTCCTCTGTCTGTGTGGAGTTTGTACATTCTCCCCTTGTCTGCGTGAGTTTCCTCCGGGCGCTCTGGTTTCCTCCCACAGTCCAAAGATCTGCAGGTTAGGGTGGATTGGCCGTGCTAAATTGCTCCTAACGCCCAAGGACCTGCAGGCTATGTGGGTTAACCATGGACAGTGCAGGCTTACAGGGATGGGATGGGTCCAGGTGGGATGCTTTTTGAAGGGTCAGTGTGGACTCGATAGGCCAAAAGGCCTGCTTCCACCCTGTATGACTGCCAGTTCTCCTTGGTGCTATGGGGTACATATTGAACCTGCTCCCTCTGCATATTCCCACCCTGTGTGCTCTGCACCACTGGGTTGTGTTGGGGAAAATGAGACTGAATTGGGGCAGTTTCTGCTTCTCCCTTGATGCGGATTTCTGGGTCTTATTCTCTGTGGCGCCTTCACCCAGAGACAATGCCTTCAGTCCCTAATTGCCCCTAGGTATGAAAACTGCTGTGGGTCTGGAGTCACGTTGTCAGGGTGGCAGATTTCTTCCTCGCTAGGCTATTAGAGACCCTGATGGGCCCTTCTCCCAGACCCATTGATAGCCTCACATTCCCGGGATGAACCATTCCACATTGTTTTTGTTCGTCCGAGCCCGTTCACTAACTGACCCTGGGAGTGTATACCCGATCCTAACAGATCATCACACCCAATGCCAATCAGGGCAGGCTGTAGACGGTGTGCGTGTGCGTGCGTGTATCTATCAATCTGTGCGTGTGCGTGCGCGTGCGCGTATCTATCTATCTGTGCGTGCGCGTGCGCGTATCTATCTATCTGTGCGTGCGCGTGCGCGTATCTATCTATCTGTGCGTGCGCGTATCTATCTATCTGTGCGTGCGCGT